TGATGAGCCAGGTGCCGAGGAAAAAAGGAAGAGTAACCTAAGGAGTTGGCCTATTATATCTGCCAAAAACTGTCTAAGAGACAAAGTCTGTGGGTTGGGAGCAATGCCTAGATGGCGGAGTACAAGCAGCAACCCAGATAAACTTTCCCAAAATTCCCCTCCAAAGAATTTTAAAATAGTGCCTCAGATAAAATTTGGGGTGGCAGAGCCAACAAAAGGTCAGGGTGAGATATCTTTCTAGCCAAGACAACTTAGTAGGTTGGCAGGAGAGGTCTTTGACACCAGGGTAAATGCACTCATAAAACAGAAGTGGATAGCAGAATGGATTAGAAACCAGAATTCAACAGTGTTGTTTATAAGAGACGACCTTGAAACAGGACACACACAGTTAAAATAAAGGGCTGGAGCAGAATCTATTATCCTTCACCTGAAGTAAAAAAGACAGAGTAGCATTCCTGATCTCAGACAAAGCAAAAGCAAAAGTAGACCTAATTAAAAGAGAGAATCGGGGGAACTAAAAGATGCCATAGATCGTGAAGTAACAAAAAATTTACATCAAATTTCTCTGATAAAGGCCTCATTTCTCAAATATATAGGGAACTGAATCAGATTTACAAAAATAACCATTTAGTCAAAGGATATGAACAGGCAGTTTTCAGATGAAGAAATTAAAGCTATCTATAGTCATGAGAAAATACTCTAAATCACTATTGCTTGGAGAAATGGAAATTAAAACAACTCTGGGCTCCTGCCTCGCACCTAGCAGAAATGACAAATGCTGGAGGGGTTGGAAGTTTTGTTGCTGTCGTTCAGTCATTTCAGGTATGTCCAACTCTTTGTGACCCAGTTTGGGGTTTTCTTGCAAAGATAATGAAGTGCTTTGCCATTTCCTTCTCCAGCTCATTTTACAGATGAGGAAACTGAGGCAAACAGGTGAAGTGACTTTCCCTGGGTCACACAGCTAGTGTCTGAGGCCTGATTTGAACTCAGGTCTTCCTGACTCATTGTACAATCTAGCTATCTGAGGAAAACAGGCACATTAATACACTACTGGTAGAGTTATGAACTAGTCCAGGGGTGGGAAGTCTGCAGCATTGAGGTCACGCAGATTCTTCACTCCTGAACTAGTCTAATCATTCTGGAGAACAAGTTGGAACTCTGCCCAAAAGGCTATAAACTGTGCATACCCTTTGACCCAGCATTACCATTACTAGGTCTGTACTCCAAAAAAAATCAAAGGAGCAGGAAAAGAACCTATACGAACAAAAATATTTATAGCAGCTCTTTTTGTGGTGGTGAAAAATTGGAAATTAGGGGATGCGGTATATGATTATCATGGCAAGGGAGGTCATTGTGCACAGTAACAGCAATATTGTAATGATGATTAACTGTAAGAGACTTAGCTACTTTGATCAGTACAGTGATCCAAGACAGTTCCAAGGGATTCATGATAAAAAATATTATCCACCTCCAGAAAGAGAACTGATGAACCCCGAGTACAAATTAAAGCATAACTTTCTTGCTTTTTTTTTAAACTATGGCTATTATGGAAATATGTTTTGTGTGATTTCAGATGTATAGTTGATAGCATTCTGCTTGCTTTCTCAGTGGGTCAAGGAGGCATGAGAGGCATGAGAGAGGGGGAGAATTTGGAACTCAGAATTTAAAAAGAAGACAATAATGTTAAATAATAAAGGAAGAAAGGAAATAAAGTCTGTGGTTCAGACTCTGAAATCTGGCTCCAAGCAACCTGCCTGGAGGTAAGATAAATATCATAATAGACCTTTCCTGTGTTCTACATTTCAGTCAAACTGTCTAATTCTCCCTCCTCTGTTAGTGCTCTGCCCTCTCACTTCTCTGTGCCTACATTTGTAATTCACCAGGCATGGATTGGACTCTGCATCTTCCTCCCTACTGTTCATAGGCAAGTAAATAATACACAAAGTGGGGGTGGAATGGAGTGGAGATGAATACTCTTTTAAATACATAATTTGGGATGATGATGGGGACAACCAAGTAGAAATGTTTAGCAGGCATTTGGGGAATAGGATAGGACCGTAGAGGAGAGGTCCAGGGAGAGAGAAAAGAGTTAGTTAGTGTTCGTCCTGTTACACTTAAAAAAAAAATTAACAATCATTTTTTAAAATTTTAGTTCCAAATTCTGTCCTTTCTTCCTGTGCCTTCTCCTTAAGAAGACACGCAATTTGATTTCGATTGTACATGTGAAGTCATGCAAAACATTTCCATGTTAGCGATGTTGCAAAAGAAATATGTTGGGTACTTTCCTGTCCTTAGAGTACACTGGTTTCCTTTCTGTTGCAGCACAGGTTAATAGCTTAATAAACATGTTTCAAATGGCTTATGAAGTATATTGCTTAATTTCAAAAGATCATTCGGGAGCATACCTGAAGCCTTTCCTACACTTAAATGCTGTGTCTTTCAATTATGACATTCACAGACTTTTAAAAGGGTCCTGTTTTTGTTTGAGAGCAAACATGCTTGCTTTATACAAATTGAAGTATTTCCTGTTGTTTTTTTTTAATCAGACAAGCTAATGTCTTGCCCCTTTTTTAAAGCTAGTTGGAAAATTTTATTGTACCTATATGAACAGCAAGATTTATAGCAGCTCTTTTTGTGGTGGCAAAGAATTGGAAATTGAGGGAATGGCTGAACAAATTGTGGTATATGATTGTGATGGATTACTGGATTGTGATGGAATACTATTGTGCTATAAAAGAATGATGAACTGGATGGTTTCAGAAAACCTGGGAAGACATATGAACTGATGCAAAGTATAGTGAGCAGAACCAGGAGAATATTGTACAATATGATGATCAGCTGTGAATAACTTAGCTATTCTGATCAATATAGTGATCCAAGACAGTTCCAAAAGACTTATGATGAAAAATGCTGTCTACCTCAAGAGAGAGAATTGATGAAGTCTGAGTGTCATCTTGGGCTTGGAGAAGCCTAGAGAATTCTTTTTTCCATGTATTCCTCATCTTAATCTGCTTCTTGCTACATTTCACTTCCAATCTTGAGGAGCTAACTCTGGAAACAAAAAGTATACGACTGTGAGAAGATAGTTGATGGTGGTGGTAGGAGGGTGTTGGAAGGAACCACCATTTAGAATCATAAGTTACTTATATACCACTTCATCTTAGTCCGTTTTTAGGCAGCCGTATGACTCCTATCCAATCAAAGACTGATCTGATATGTTTTATACCTTATTGTGAGTGCACTGGTAGGCTGGAGTCCTATTTCCAAGAGCCCTTTAGGGGCACAATGTAGCTGAAATATCTATATATTTAAAACAGCATTTTTTCCTATGGTTTTTCATTGCAAGCAAACCTTTCAGATGAAATTTCCACCATACTGTGTATTAAACAGACATTTGTAAGCTAGCCTGGGAATCATTATTTATAAAATAGTTTCTCTTCAAAAACAGGTTCCATATTCCAGACAACCAATTTATAAATGAACTTTTAGAACACTTATCACAGTTGAGGAAATCATCTGTATTTCTATTGCTACTGCATTGAATTTGCTTGTGAATCTTGCCTTCAATACATGAGCTATGAAGTTAAATCCATGAAATCTCAAACCAAGGGTCCCTAAAATGTTAGTCAAAGTCATGAGTGCCAATTGTTGCTATAGCTCTCTCTCCGTGCAACTCTTGCATTTCAAGGGGCGAGCTGTGTAGGGTAATGTGATGGGAAGCTTCTTCTCTGACGCTAGGATTCCGCCATCAACACCTCCCCATTCTGCTTTTCTCAAGACGTTAGGAAAATTAAAAAAGCAATGTCTCCTCATAGACATTGGAAAGACCTTAAACCTAAACAGTAGTTTCCATCTAGGGGAACCTTTGGTAAACCTCAAAACCATATGCACATGTGAAGGGGTGGTGATTTCTGGGAAGATAGATGTACCTAGGAAATGAACATTAGCAATTTAACTCAGTCCTGAAATGTTTACTGTTCATTATCTTTCATTATTTTGTCCTTTTTAAACTTGATTTCTAACCAGAAGGCTTACAATGTCAAATTAGGTTCTTTAAAACAGCTAGAATCTTGTTAACCCAAAATAAATGCTCTTGGTTTGCTTGCTGGAGTTCAGGGATTAAGTAAACAGACTAAACATATCCCTTCTCCTTCATGAGCAATCAGACCGAGTATTTATTGAGCACTTTGGGGCACAAGACAGAATATAAGTAGTTAACACTTTTTATTGCTTCTAGGTTTGCTGCTACCCATTCAAAGCCTATAATACTCTTCCCACCAATTTTGCCCACTCATTCACTGTTCCAGCAGATGCACTGTTAGGATTTTGCCTTGTGGTTTTCTACTTTTCAGAGATGGTCTCTAGGAACATATTTTTTAAAGAGGGGACTGCCTGTGCTAGGGACTTCAGATATGTACTAATGAAAAGACAAGCTCCCTGTCCCCAAGTAACTTATTAAGACATACTTGCCAGTAATTGATGGGCTACTCTCAATCTGTGGAAAATCTTTTTGAATTTGAGTAGTCAAGTCTGGCTTCTTTCAAGTGTCGTCCTTTAAAGCCTAGCTCAAGTTTTGCTTCCTTTCTGAAACCTCCTCTAAACTCCTTTTACATTTATAATTAGAACTACATAGTTTTGCATTAAATTGTTCTGTTGTATTAGTCTTTGAGGTCAGGGACACTTTTATATATGTGGTGACTGTACAATCTGGGACATTACAGATTTCAAAAAAAGAACATGTACATTTGGCAAGGCTTTCAAAGAGAAGTTTCCCTGGTGAAGTAGTGTGTCTCAGTTTTGGGGAAAATCTGTTCATTCCAATATAGTCATCATTGCATCCATCCCCCCACATTGTTGAGCATATAGTAGAGCCTTGATAAATACTTGATGATTGACAATAAACAGCAATTGTGTACTAAGAAATTTAAATGCAAATATCTTTTCTTTAATTAACATCATAAGTTTTATTGATTGCTTGTATGTTTCATATTTTGTTTTAGGTTCCTAAGTACTTGTCTCAGCAGTGGGCCAAAGCTTCAGGAAGAGGAGAAGTAGGAAAGCTGAGAATTGCAAAGTAAGTGGATTCACATGGGATTTTGGTATTGTTTGAAAAAAATGTATAATGGGGCAGCTAGGTGGGGCAGTGGATAGAGCACCAGCCCTGGATTCAGGAGGACCTGAGTTCAAATGTGGCCTCAGACTCATAGCACTTACTAGCTGTGTGACCCTGGGCAAGTCACTTAACCCCATTGCCTAGCCAAAAACAAACAAACAAACAAACAAAAGAATTTATAATCATATTTTAAATACATTTATAAATAATGCACAGCACAGTAATACAGCAAACACTGTTGCAAGATTGAAATATAAATGGAAAGCCATGAAAAATTGGACTAGATTACCTGTGAGTCAGGCTTTTCCAACTCTGAGATCATTTGATTCTGTGCAATAAGGCTGTGCAAGAGGCTGCTAAGACATTTCTACCCTGTGGCTAACAGCAACAAATATTAAAGCATATCGAAGGGGAGTAAATAATCTCAGATATTGAAAGGTATCTGTGTTATTGTGGCATAATTTCTTTCATAAAGTCTTCATTATTTTCAGTTTTGGTGGTGATTCAAAATCACCTTTGTTGTCTGAGAAATACTTTGCTGTCTTAAGTCACCCACCATTACTCGGTGCTCATTTGCTAAGCTTGGGGTCATCTTTGTTCTTTTGCAGAGATATTTTTTTAACATGGGTCAGTTCCTTGTATCGGATTTATAGGTTAGGCATATCCTCTGTTTAGTTCTTGACATATCTTATGTTGGTTTTTTGATGGTTGGATGTTCTTTTGCATTTTAAACCTACATTTATGCCTCCTGATAGTGTGATCTTTCTTTTGTTTGTTTTGATTCTAAATAGATTCTATAATTTCTTAGTGACGTTTTAACAAGGCTGTTTAATAGTAAACAAATGAGATCATTAATGTGCCTGATGGTAACATTTGATAGTAGTTGTGTTTATTTCAAAAACATTTTCATTTCTCCTTTTATTAGACCTTTCCCTAGAAATCCTTTAAGGAAAATGAGGGGAGGTAACAGCTATTTTTGCACATAAAACTGGGAAACAAAATTTATGACTTGCCCCGGTGATAATAGCACTGTATTAGAACTTGGTTTTCATAACTCTAGCACAAACTAGGCCCCGCAGCAGACTGCACCTCACTTTATACCAACAGTAATACATTAAATTTGTATAGCACTTTACCATTCCAAAGAGCTTTCAAGTATTTCAGCTCATTTTATTCCTACAACAGCCCTGTGTAATAGTTATTACTTTATGTAATAGATGTGTCCCAGGAAAACTGTATGTAAATCTAATGTTGTGAACTGAATACTTTTAATGCGCATGAAGCACTCCTTATTTCAAAGCACCCTTATGCTACCTTTTATAAAGTGAAGAGGGCTTTTGTAAAGTAGGTAATGATTCCCTTTGTTTCGTAAAGTTTTTGCAAACTTTAAAGGGCTATGTAAATATCAGTGTTTATTATCGAGCTCAGATTTTTCATGTATTGGTTTTCTTAGAAGTGGGTTATACCTATAAGATGGCACGGTGGATAGAGTGCTAGGCCTGAATCAGGAAGACCTGAGTTCAGCTTTGGCCTCAGACACTTACTAGGTGTGTGACCCTGGACAAATTGCTTAACCTGTGTCTGCCTCAGTTTCCTCAATTTTAAAATGGAGATAATAATAGCACTTAACCTCCAGGGGTCATTATGAGGCACAAATGAGATAATATTTATAAAGCACTTAGCGCAGTCCCTTGCGTACAGTAGGTGTTGAATGAATGCTTGTTCCCTTCCCCTAACTGGAGCTAGCCTACTAGACTAGCATAGTGACAAGCTTTAACCACCATATAGTTTTAAAGAACTGTAGCCAGCCATTATTTTAAAATATGTACGGCATTGAAACTAAGAGTCTTGTCAAATAGAAGATGAACCTCTTTAAGATAAAAAGTGTTTGCATAGCCTAGTGGACAGTGAGCCTGCCTCAGAGGCAGTACGGCTGGGCTTGGTTTCCTGCTCCTGAACACGCTTCTTTGTGATCCTGGGTAAAGTCACTTCTATTCCTCTGTGTCCTCAGCAACTCTGAAGACTGAATTGAAGATTAGGTGTCAGTCTGCATTGGGAGAGGGAGATTTTCCATTGGGAGCAAAGGGAAGAATAGAGTTGGACCCAATCTCTTCTCGTCCCATAATCTCCCTTCAAAAAACCCAATCTTGGGGGGCAGCTAGGTGGTGCAGTAGCCAGAGCAACGGCCCTGAAGTCGGGAGGATCTGAGTTAAAATATGACCTCAGACCAAACACTTGTCACTTACTAGCTGTATGACCCTTAAGTCACTTAATCCCAATTGTCTTTAAAAAAACAACAAAAAAAAACCCCAATCTTGTAACTAGCATCTTAAGAAGATTGATAAAGGGTTTTAAAGTATTTTATTGTTAGATAGCTATAGTGTATGCAACCACTAAATTGTTGTTAATTCATTTTCTTTATTCCCATTTTCAGTAAATTCTAGTGGCTCCCTGTTACCTTAAGGACTCAAATACAAACTCTTCTGTTTGGTATTTAAAGTCCTTCATATCCTGACTGCAGCTTACCTTGCCAGCCTTATGTCTCCTCCATGCAGTTTTTGGTTCAGCTATCCTGACCTTCTTGTTCCTCATATTAACCCTCCATGTCCTGTCTCCCTGCTTTTTCACAGGCTGTCCTTGCCCACGATGTGCTCTCTTCTGGCTTCCATCTCTTAGAATACCTAGTTTCCTTAAAAATTGAGCTCCTAACACATTCTTCATGAATAATAGCTAACATTTAAATAGTACTTTAAGGGTTTGCAAACTGCTTTACAAATATTGTATCATTCTATACTCATAACTAGGAAATAGGTATTATTGTTATCCACATTTCATAGATGAGGAAGCTGAGGCAGACAGAGGTTGAGAGACTTGCCCAGGGTCACACAGCTAATAAGTGTCTGAGGTTGTATTTGAACCTCAGGTCTTTTGGACTCTAGGCCCAGCACTCTCTCCACTGCACTGTTTTATAGGTATGATCTACTTTGTTGGCCGTCCTAATAGAATATAAACTCCTTTGGGAAAGGAACTGGTTTGTTTCTTTGTATTCCTGTCTTCTCTTACAGTGCCATGTACGTAATATACCCTTAACAAATGTTGTATGTTGATTTGTAGATAATATGAAGGGTAAATCATCTTGGCTTCACTTGTTCAGTTGTTTTCATTCATGTCTGACTCTTTGTGACCCAATTTGGGGTTTTCTTGGCAAAGATACTGGAGTGATTTGCCCACAGTCACACAGCTAGTAAGTGTCTGAGGCCAGGTCTGAACTCAAGGAGATCAGCCTTCCTGACTCAATGCCCAGTGTTCTATCCAGTGCACCACCTCGCTGCCCCAACTGGCCTTACCTAAGTTATCATAAAATTACAGACTCATAGAACTTTTGTGCTGAAGCGATCATGTAGCCCAATTCCCCTAATTTACAGGTGATCACACTAAGGACTCGGACAGATTCAGTGACATCTAAATTCACAAGGTTTTTCTTCATTCCACAGGCTGCTTTCTCAATTGCTCAGTCAGTTTGAGTGATCTCTTTTCTACCATAATGAGCCTTAGAAAAGAGTGTGCCTAAGAGTCCCCCATTAAAAAAAAATGCCAAATTTCCTTAGGGGAAAAATAAGATTGAATTAACGAACTTTGATTATATATAAGTTTTATAGCTCATTTTTATTCATTATTTTGACTTGTTCTCTTAGGAAGATAAAGCTCTATTTTATTTAAAACATGCTGTTTGCCTCAAAATTGTAGAAGTCATATATTCAACAGGCATAGCTGCTTGGAAATCACTACATTTGACACCAGTTCAATCTAATTCTAATATAGTTTTGGCCAAATGGTGGTATGTTTATAATTCCCTTTTGTGTGTCTTTTTAACATTTTGTATGTCATCTTTGACCACAGCAGCTTATCTTTCCATCTGGCCCATTCATTCTCCTACTATTCATCTTTGCCTTTATCTTGATTTCTAGGCCCACTACACATCTATGAATTCCCACAGATTGCTATCTATTTCTTTATCTATTTCCTCCCTACACTGCCTGGATCTCCCAGTATGTAATTCCTGTAATGTTCCCCTTAACACCTTAAATGTCATGCTCTTTTCCTTCTGCTAATCATTTTTTACTGATTCTCAACCCTGTGTAAGCTCTGTCATTAACTGTTTCTGCTCTTATTTCTGGGTTGCCAGAACTGGAGAAAGTTAAAGAAAATTTCCATCATCTTGGCTGCATCACAAATTCATACAAATTTCAGTTTCACAATAGTCCCTGCCCTTCCTCATATCTGGGAGGTCCCTAAGTCCTCATTTTTGTTTTCTGTATCTCATGGCCTTTCTCTTAACTGTACAGGGTGTTCCAAAAGTTGTTGGACAGTTTTAAACTAGAGTCCAGAAAGTCATTAACTTGTTCTTCAGTGCCTCTATATGATATTTAAAATCTTAATGATAGGATTTGTAGTCAGATTCTATTAGGAACAGATTGCCTGCACCATTGACAAGTGAATAGCTCCTACCTCCCTGAGTCAGTGAAATTGAAGGAAGTCTCATAATTATATTAGCAAGCTACATTACAAATTTGTTATCCAACCTTATGCTATCCAGCTTTGGGGCAGCTATGTGGCACAGTGGATAGAACACAGGGCTTGGAATCAGGAATCTTGGAATCTAGCCTCAGATACTTACTAGCTGTGGGATCCTGGGCAAGTCACTTAACCCTGTTGGCCTCAATTCCTCATCTGTAAAGTGAGCTGGAGAAGGAAATGGCAAGGCAGAAATTACCTCCTGACAAGATATAGGGTGTGAGGTTACTCATCCTACTTTCTAATAAACCTGGCTATAATTTCCATCTTATATGTAAACATGTTGAAGAGTTTTTGGACTTTGGCTAACAAGCAAATATAATATTATTGGTATGGTAAGGAAAGGAACGTAGGGTTGCTTTTGTATATTTTTTTTCAGAGTAGGAGAATGAATTGAAAAGTGCTATTCAAATGTAAACTATCATAATTTGTAGAAGATTGTTCCAGAAAATTTAGACTTTTCCTATTTTAAAACATGTCTTCTTTTTCCCCTTCTCCAGGAATCAAGGAAGGACTGAGGTAAGTTGATTTATATTTGCAATTTTAATTCTTTTTAATACATGAAAAAATATTTATCTTATATGGTAGTAATTATAGGGTAAAGAAAGGTTTTCATTCTGGAGAAGTCGTCAGCATCAATGATGTTCCCTGACTTTGTGCTCGATCAACTGCCTGGTTGTCCATTCTTTTTATTAGTATTGTATTTGTCTTCTCTGGGTTGGACACTGTGGATTGTGTAGTATTAAAGTCAGAGTGAAGAGAATATTTGGTTTAGTTTTTTCAGACTTTAATTGTTGTCCGTAATATTAAACACTATGATGGTATAGCACATAGGTACTCAGTAAGTATTTCATACTAGTCTTCCAGATAGCATGGGTGTAGTGAAGATCAGAAAGCCAGTATTTATAAATCCTTTTGATATAAAATGTGATGTTCATTTGGGTGAAGAGTCTAGGAGAGAATTCTTCTGAAAGAAAATAGTCTCCCGGTTCTAACCTATAGTCCTGTGGCAAGTATTTGATATTTACAGAAATATTTAGGGGAATTCCATCTATTTAGTAATTATTAGTGGGGGTTGAATAAAACTTAAAATATAGTTATGTCCAGAACATTTAATATGGATCAAAAACTCTTAGTGTCAGCATATGTTTTGTTAACATTGAGGGTATACCTTAATCCTATCTAAACTCCATTGTCCCTTGGCCACATGGTCCAGATCCCTGGCATTCTGTTCACTGGCTACTCCCATCCAGATCATCCTTAGACCCCTCCTCCAGTCACCCCAGACTACTTGACCATTCCTGGATCCCTGCCACAGTCTTTCTGAATATAAGATTCATCTTGCCTCCATTAAGGTGTTCAGATTCTTACAATCTAGCCAATAGCTCACAAATATTCAGATTTCTTAAGAGTCTGGCCAATATGGCGGCTCTTTAATAAACCTTGTCTTTGGCTGGGGAAAAAAACCAAAAACAACAAATATTGGAAATTCAGCCTTTTCTTAATAGGTTAGCTGTATCATTTTTGCATATTAGGATAGCTTCTTACTGTAGTTGGTTTTATAATGTGTTTGTTGGAGAGTTTTCAATATAATTCTAAAAAGATCACTAATTTGGAAAATGAAATATGTAATTAAAATTTAAGTATAGATAGTTCATAGTAAAAAGTTAAGTTATTAATAGACTTTGGTTAATTATCTGCTAGGTATCTTTTACTTTGAATGAGGAGCTTGCAAATATCCGTGATATTGGTGGAAAACCTGCTTCTGTCAGTGCTCCCAGAGAACATCCATTTCTCTTGCAAAGCGTGGGAGGACAGACATTAACAGTCTTTACAGAGAGCTCATCAGGTAAGGTAGACTGAAATTAATGCTACTCTTAAAAATGTTAACTTTATAAGTTTGGCACTGTGATCTGTTAAAAAGGACATTATCAAGGCCTAACATTCAACCAACCAATTTTTTTCATGCCATTCTTTGTTTGGCCTTTTCTTGTTATAATAGAATCTGTCATCAAACAGTAAACATTTATTAAGTGCTTACTGTGATCCAGGCACTGTGCTAAGGGCTGGGGAGACAAAAAGAGGCAATGACAGCTCCTGCCTGCAAGGAGCTCAGTATGTTGAACTAATGAGGAGTTTACAATCTAATGAGTATAGAGAAATTCATGAAAGAATTGGGGTTTATATTTTAGTATTCTGGACATAAACATGGAACAAACAGAGTAGCATAACTACAAAATGCATCTTCTAAGGTGATTGAGAAAAACCTTTGTGCTTTGGATTCTGCTATAATAGGGTCAGCCTACATATAAAGCATATCCCTTGTGTTTTCTTATCAGGAATAGATGGGTTTTTTTGGTTTTTCTTTTAGCAACAGAGTGCTAAATGTTAACAATTATTGCTAAAACTTAAGGAGTGTTCTAGTGTTACATTTTTGTTATTATGTACTAATCCATCTTAACCAGTCCTGTCAAAGAAAGACCAAGCTGTCTGGGAAAAGGAAGTCTTTGTTACATGATGTATTAACCACATAGCTACTTTTATGATTCAGATACATGAGTTTTTGGAATACTAAGCGTTAAAGGGAGATCTTCTGCTATTGCTATAAATTTAAGTTCATTTTCAGTGTCTTCTACCTTTCTTGTCTATGATGAATTTAAACCATTACTGCGAAAGTAGAGTGTGTGCTACCTAGTACAACATAACACACTTTCATATAATAAATTAGAAAAAGTGATCTGTTTATCTTCCAAAAGTGAAATCTGTGATTTCATCCCATTATCAAAAATTTCAAGATAGTGGGGAGTTGTGATGAATTCTTATATGACATAAAGAATTTCATCTTTAAAAAATCATATCCTTATAGTAATTAATAGCCTATAAATTACTATGAGCTGTTTAAAATCAGTTCAGTAAATTGTCATTTTTTGGGAGGGAGATATAACTTTTACCAGTGTGGTAAGTTGTAAGTTTTTCTGAGTTGTAGTGCTAAGTAATGATTAGCTTTAATGCCTTATTTATTGTTGTGATATAAGTGTTCATAGTACCATTTCTTAGCAGACAGAAAGTGTAAAAGTGAACATTTCATATTGTACATGGGATTATGCCATAGTTACAGAGACGCAGCTTGAAATTTACTTGAAATAGATGGAGCAGATGGCTCAAGAGGCTCCCCTTTATCAGTCCACGGTTGCCAAAGTGGTATTCCATAAGCAAAAGATTGACCATGTCTTGTCTCTGCTCAGTAAGCTCCAGGGAATTCGTGTTCCCTCCAAAATCAGATATACGTTCTTCTATTTGACATTGAAAGCCCTTCACCCTGGTCTCAACATGTATTTCCAGGCTTATTGCGTATGTTTGTGCTTCATATACTCTTTGGTCAAACCAAATGGCTTTCTTGCTCTTGATCACACACAACATTCTATCCCCTTGTCAGTGTCTATACTGGCTGTCTCCTATGCCTAGAATACAGTCTCTTCTCCACTCTATGTCTCTGAATCCCTAACTTTCTCATTTAGAATCCTCTCCTGATTTCTTACCTGGCTACCCTACTAGGGGACTTCTCTGTCTGGCTTCTCCACCCTGCCCCCCAGGAAGTCCATTATTGGGATATCCTCCTCATCCCTTCTGCCTTGGTGCTCCCCCTCAGCCCTGCCCTCTTCCTCTCCCATTGGAGGGTGGAGCCATGAACTGCATACTTCCATTTAAGGAGAGAGATCAGCTCAGATAGCTCATTTCTCACCTGGCTGTCCTACCTTGAGACTTCTCTGATTTCTCCACAATGCCTTTACCTACCTTGCAACCCCTTTCAACTTCTTTTTGTGTTTTGTCTTCCCTCATTAGACTGTAAGCTCCTTGGGGGCAGGGATGTGTTTTTTTTGAATTTGTATACCCAGCACTTGGCACAGTGCCTGACACATAGTAAGCTCTTAATAAAAGTTTCTTGATTATTGACTTCCCTTAGAGCTCAGCTCAAGCATCACCTTCTATATCAGGCCTTACCTGATAGATCTTGCTGTTGACATTTTTTCCCTTAAATTTATCTTGTATTCACCTTTTACATATTTGGCATATACTTACATACGTACACGTGGTCTCTCTTTATAGAGTACAATCCCCATGAGGGCAAGGGCTGTTTCAGTTTTGTCTTTGTATCCCCTAGCAACTAACAGTACCTGGTATATAGCAGGCACTTAAATGTTTGTTGACTGGTAAATAATTGGTTTGAAAAAATTTATGATATGAATGGGCAAAGGTAGTCGAGTCTTGGTATGTAAAAGGGAAAACCATAAGATGAGAGACAGTGGAGAGTTTGGAAAAAGATTCTTTAAATCTTCATACCTTATATATTATTAGGTTGACTGTAGGATACTGGGGCCTAATAATGAAAAGTTTCATACATGAGTTGAAACTGATAGGAGTCTGTAACAACTTATGTAAACAGAAAACCTGCAGCCATCAGTCAGTTCCAGTTCTGTCTAGTTCTGTTTATATAAAATAAGAAAAGAATTATGGAAAGTTAAACCATGTATTGTTCTCAGAAGAAGTCTTCCATCTTGCCTTTCAGTTGTTGTTGCTGTCCTGAACATTTTGTGTTCATGTTTTTGGTCCTGCAGTACCTTGCATTGGGTGTGGTGTTCCCAGCATCGTCTTGGCAGAGAGATAGAAAAAGATCCAAACTGTCATTTATGTTCTGGAGTATGAGCAATATGTTCTTGGCTTTTGGTGATGTGATTATACAGACTCAGTGCTAATTTTCTTCCCACTCACTTTTGTTCATATTTCTGCGTTCTTGGTTTTCCTTGCCCAAATGATCACTTCTCTTCTAGATTATTATTCTGATATTTCCAAATTGGATTTCAGTTATTTTTAATTAACCCAGCTAAGTTTTCTGGTATGTCTTCCCTTAATAATATTTGCCATTCCTCTGTTGCATTAATTAGTTATCAAGTCACTCTTCCAAATTACTAATACAGGTATTATAATCGAAATTAATGTTGGACAATGCCCCCTGATCATTTCCCATTTTTCTTAATTATTTTAATAATTTTTTTTGTTGCTTGAGTCAAATATATCTGAATCTGCAAATTTCATTTTATGAAATTACATAATGTCTGCATGCCTCTTCATGTGCATATGCCTTAAAATCCAAAGACTTTATTTTCCTTTAAGAGCATATTGAGTGACTTGACTGAAGGTTTCATGGTATGATGACCAGAGCATTGGATTTGGAGCCTGAGGGTCTGGCTTTGAATTTGTTTGCCTCTTATTTACTTCCTGTGCCCTGGTTTCTAGTTTATAAAATAAGAGTATTAGATTAGATGATTTCAAAGTTCCTTCAAACTTTAAAGTCTGTAATTCTTGAGAAAAAAGAAAAATTCCGGAATTGTCATTTATAGTTACAAGACTTTATTTTCTGAGTCTCCGTGCCATTTATGTTGTTTTCAGCTGCCCGTGTTACTTTAGTTCTGCCTGTACTTCAAAAAGGACAAGAGATTTAAAATTAAGATGCATGTGAAATGGATATGATTTTGTGTATTTGTCCTTTTTTTTTGAAGTATAATACTGTATTCATTTATTGATTTCTCCTTAACTATTCACATTTTACAAAATGAAAAATTCTAGGAAAAATACACACCTTAAATGAGTTTGATATTTTCCATCTTGATTTAATAGTGCCTTCTCTTCTCTTTTGCATTTGTACTTGGAAAAATTTAACTTATTTTTCTAATTAACTAATTTTGTTATTTTGGGTTTCCTTTTAGAGCTATACTTACTGTGGACTTGAATTTTTGCATCTCATTCTCCTTAATTAAAAAATCCATATGCTTTTCATTAGTACTTTATGAATTCATTTTGATTATTTCTAGCTCTTAGTTTCTGAAAACTTTTGGCTAGTTCTATTTTCAGTTATTGTTTCAAGTTATCATTATTTCTTCTACCTGTATGTTCCCTCCCATGGAATTAGCAAAATAACCCTTTTCTTTATTTTTAGAAACATTTTCATAGAGGTTATGCTTCATTCTTCCATGAAGAAATGACTGAATTTTGGTTTTGTTCTTTATTTTAGTATTGTGTATTTCCTTGGGAATCCTTTTTATTTTTCATGGTTTCAGCGGCTTCTGGATAATGGTGGATGATTACCATCTGTTTCTTTTCATCTCTGGCACTTCCCTTTTGTAAAAACTTATTTTCTTAAGTTTTCTTATCCCAAACCCAAAATAATAGATGTAAAACCTATTATTCCAACTTAAAATAAAACCTACATACCACCTCTCCCCCACCTTAATCTCTCCCTACTTCAGTCCCATCCTCCCCAAAACCTAGAGGTAACCATGAGTAACCATGGAACCCAAAGAGTAAAGGTTTAACAACTAACCTCATGACTGATTTCCATTTGGTTATTTTCTTTTAACATAGAATAGACTGTAGCATATCTTTAATTCATCCTTCTTACAAGCATATATCCTGGTTGTATATATGTTGATATTTGCTGGAACTTCTAATCTTTTATAGTTCTCTCCACTTTCTACCATCCCTTTTAGCAAATGAGAAGAAGAGGAATAGTAGGCATAAGAGACCCAGCGACTATTTTTGGTTTGGGAGGTGGCCAGCCGTGTTCTTATAGTGCTTTTAATTTGGTGATCTGTGGGAACATTAATATAGAATTAGCATAAAATAGAAAGATATGGAATCAGAGGGCCAGGATTTGAATTCTAGCTATGCTACTTACTTGCGTGACTTTGGACAAAATTCTCAATCCCTCCTGGCCTTAGTTTCCTGATCAGTAAAAATAAGGGTATCTCACTAGATAATTTCTCCAGTACCTTCTAACTCTACATCTTATGA